TTAAAACCCTGCTAACATGGAAGTACCCAAGAATCATTTGAGGCACATAATGCTTTATGAGTTCAAGAAAGGAAACTCAGCAGCCGAAGTGGCTAGAAACATTCACTCAGTTTATGGAGAGGAATGTGTGAATGAAAGAACTTGCAGAAGATGGTTTGCAAAATTCAGAGGTGGAGATTTCACCCTTGAAGATGAAGATCGAACCGGACGTCCAGTTGAGTTTGATGAAAAGCTTCTTGAAGCAGCCCTTGAAGAAAATCCTGCTTTATCAGTTGAGGAATTGGCAGTGGTTCTCAGTTCAAACCATACAACTGTTCATCGTCATCTTCAACAACTTGGAAAAGTTCCTAAACTTGGAAAATGGGTGCCTCATGAATTGTCTGAAAACAACCTCAAATCCCGAGTTGACATCTGCTCTTCTCTCCATTCTCGCCAACTTGTTTCACCTTTTTGGATAGACTTGTGACTGGCGACGAAAAAATGGATCTTTTATCGAAATGTTAAGCGTCGTAGACAGTGGCTTGGTAAAGGGAAGGACCCCAGCCACAGCCGAGAAGGGAACTTCATGGGCAAAAGGTTCTTCTTTCAATCTGGTGGGATCGCCAAGGAATAATCCACTTTGAATTCTTACCACCTAATGCAACAATTAATGCTCAAATATACTGTCAGCAATTAGAGCGTTTGAACCAAGCTTTGAGGAAAAAAAGACCTGCTCTAGTGAATCGAAAAGAGGTGATGTTTCATCAGGACAATGCGCGACCCCACACAGCAAGAATCACGTCACAAAAGATCGAAGAACTTGGTTGGGAGAAAATTCCTCATCCACCTTATTCTCCCGATCTTGCTCCTTCAGACTACCATTTGTTTCGTAGCTTACAGAATCATTTGGAAGAAACAGCTTTTGTAACACAGGAAGAGGTTAAAACTGACATTTGTGAGTTCTTCGAATCAAAGCCAAAAGAATTTTACAGTAATGGAATTAGTAAGCTTGTTAATAGATGGAAGGAAGTCATAGATAATCAGGGAAAATACATTGTTGATTGAATCTGTAATTAAATGTAACATTTGGTCACTTGTTTTCTTTATTCAAAATTCGGACAGAACTTATGGGATGACCTGATGATATATATATAGCCCTATTCTATCAGTAATGCTTATTTAGCATTGATTTTAATCACTGAATTACAATCCATAACATTTTCTTCCTCATTTTATAATCAAAATCAAATTCCTATAGTAAAATGATATTAAATGCAGATTTATTTATACAAAGCCAAAATAAATCTATCATATATTGAGAGTAAATCTTAAAATTTCATCCCTTTCTTCTCTGGGAGATGAACAATCAAAAGAAAGAAAATTATTTAAAATCAAAAAATGCATTTCATTATACATATATAGCAGATTCATTAATGCTTGCAAAAAAAAATTAGGGAGAATTTTTTTTCTTCCTCATTTGTTTGCATTCCTAAAAAAAAAAAAAAAAAAAAAAGCATTTTCATTATACATATAATGCCCTATTCTATCAGTAAAAAAAGAATTTTGACCACTGACAATTTTTTGATTCCTCATTTAAAATGCATTCCTATAGTAAATTTTTGCATTTGATATACATATAAAGCCCTATTCTATCAGTAATCTTTTTCATTGTTTACCATGACAATCCCTTTCTTCCTCATTTGAAATGCATTCCTATAGAAAATCATTAGCAATTAATTTCCATTATACATATAATAAGCCCTATTCTATCAAAATGCATTCATTCCTCAACCATAAGAGACAATTGATTTTCTTCCTCATTAAAAAATGAAAATTCCAATAGAAAATGTAATTAGCAAAAAAATAAAGGTACATATAAAATTTTGCTGTTCTATTCATTGAAAAATGCTTTTCAACAATCATTCCTATGATGAGAAATAAAATATGAGGATCATTAATTCAAATAAATCAGTGGACTTGTTTTTCATTAAATAAAAAAAAATTTTTACTGAAATAAAAATATTCTATTATATAAAAAAAAAAAATAAAGAAATTTGTATGACAGTGACCAGTTTATTGGACTTTAAAAAAAAAAAAAAAAAAAAAAAAAAAAAAAAAAGAAAAAAAAATATTAAAAAGAAGATGGGATATAAAAATTATCAAAGGAAAATCTTCAAAAAAGGAAAAAGAAAAAGGAAAAGAAAAAATTGAAGAATTTTATTCTGACAGTTTGAACTTCTTTGAAAAATAACAATTAAAAAAGGAAATGCAAAGAAAAATAAAATAACCTCTAAAAAGATCAAAAAAAAAAGAATTTAAAAAGGAAAGAAAGAAAATCCCTTTCTTTCGGATATTTGAAAAATGGATTAGTCCTGCCAAATTAGTAAAATCAATGAACAATGTGTCTGATAAGAAAAAGATTTTCCAACAGTATTTTTTCATGCTTCATTCATTGCAGATTTTGATAAATTCTTTTTTCATTTTGAAATTTAAAAGAGTCATTGTATTTCAATATTTTATATCTCCTTATTCCGAAATGTTCTAACTTTTGATTCTCAATATTTTTTACTAAATTTGTAAAACAAAAAAAATTTGCAATATTTAAATCATTCCAAATATTATTCATATAACTATTTTCTTTTTATTACAAACACATTTAAATTGATCACTTTTTAGCGTTAATTTGTTGAATATAAAAACATTATAAAAAAAAAAAAGGAAAACAAATTTTAAAAGAAACAGTTTTATAAAGGAAAACAGTTTCATTAATATATATTATTAAAATATAACGTGTTCATTTATTAGAAACATTATACAATCACCAAAAGATCCAGCTGATTTGAAAGTATTTATGAGGAAGGTTTATTATCAAAGGTGTTCATAAAAAAAATGTTTTTTTCTGAACTATAAATCATTCCATCAATTGATATATCAATGGGAGCAATCATTAGATTTCAAAATCTGTTCTAATCAAAGCTATAAATTTAAATTTCAAAAAGACAATCAATGAAAAAATTCCATATTTTTGGCAAATATTTGTCAATCAGATTAAACAATAAATATTGATTTCTGCTGAATGTAAAGAATTACATTGGCATCCTATTTTCACATCAGAGTAATTTTAATCATTGATAAAGTTTTCTGTATATGTGTGATTAATCGTTTATTTTAAGGATCATCAGATTCTTTTCCATCCATTTGATATTGCATTTAATAAAGGTGAAGGACAGAAATCAACTCCTAAAAAATTTCCTTTCTTTTTAATATTCAGAATGTTTTCCAGGTTTAAAACTAAAAAAGCCAACAAAGTCAGTTGGTGTTTAATAATGGCTCATTAATGATAGTTCTTAAAAAAATTTAGTTTTTCCCAATAATATTTGAGATAATTGTATATCTTTTTTATTTTATAATTTTTTTTATAATTTTATTTAATTAAAATATATATTCATTATGAAAGGGAAAAAATAATTTTACAAAATGTTAAGTAATATCACTTATATTTGGAAAGAATTTTTTTTAATTTTAAAAATAAAAATTCATTTTGTAAACATATAAACTCAAAATGGGTGTTTTTGTTTTTGGGAAACTGTGTATTTCAGTCATTGTTACTTTTATTCATATTTAAATGAATATCTGAAAAATTTAACAAACTGTAATATTTGTGTGTGAAAAAAAAAGGTGGAAGAATAAAGAAATTATAGATTTTTCAAAAAATTTCATCAAAACTTTAAGGATCATTTATTTTTCTTGACAAAAAAAATATCCAGCCAAAAATTTTCCTACACAATTGTTTTTCTAATAAAATCAATTTAAAACAGATTGTGTATCCATGATATGAATGAAATTAAAGCAAATTCATAGATTCATTATTTCCTATAAAACCAGGTTGTTTGCAGGTTATTTGTCTGCCAGAATATTTTTTAGATTGGAAGAATTTGACATTTTCATTTTGAGATAATGAATGCAAGATTTTTTTTTTTAATTAACCCATAGTTGGAGGGAAAGTTTTTTTAATGATTTTTTTATCAAATGTATTTTGCAAATGAGAAAGAAATAACAAAATCAAATGGTCAGGAATTAATGCTCTCTTTATTAATAGAATAGGGCTATTTATGTATTTGGAAATCTGCACATCCAATGATTTTACTATAGGAATGCATTATTTCAAATGTCAAGAAAGGATAATCAGTGGTTAGGAATGAATGCAAGATTACTGATAGAATAGGGCTATTATGATGTATAATGGAAATGATTGCTAATGATTTAAAACAAAATAAATTACAAATGAGGAAGAAAGTTATTGAAAGTGGTCAGGAATGAATGCAAATTACTGATAGAAAAACTGATTATATATATTCAATTATAAATGCATTGCTAAAAATTTTACTATAGGATCATATTCGATAAATTTCAAATTCGCTTAATTTTTCCATTAACCATCTGGGAAAAATGGTTATTTTTACAAAAAAACTATCAATTGGAAAAACTTACTTTTTTAAAAACTGTATGTTTGAATTGTGTTGAAATTGTCCCAAAAGGCGGTCAAGGCACTGATCCTCCCTGAGAGAACCCCCGTTCCTTGTGATAAGCGAAAATTCAAGATCCGCTTGGTGATAATGGGCATCACTCAGGGCATTGAATGTGACCAACCAGTATTTTTCCAGGGAATATAATAAGGGTAACTTTTTTTTTTTTTTTTGTTTTATTTCTCATTTTTTCTCCCCAATTATGAACATTTGTATCAAAATACATTAACTGTCACAAGTTAGTAAAAGGAAAAAATTGATAACCAGATCAGAAATAGTTGAAAAAAAAGAAGTTATCTTATCAATGTGAAGAATATATATATATTTTTTATCAGCAAAAGTCAATTTGAAAAAATGCCAGGAGATAAAAAAAAAAAAAAAAATTTAGTCATATCTATGATTATGATTTGATAATTCTTTTTTGCGTGGTCCTAAAAATTGCACAACTGAAAGATCTTAACCAACTATTAAGTTAGTCATACCTAGGATTGTCAGATGTCCCTTATTTACCGGACATGTCCTGTAACGGATAATTTTGTTTCTTGTTCTGTACTGACCTTTTATGAACACCCCAAATGTCCCGTATTTAGTTCATTTTCAAATTTCGTAATAAAAATATATTTTTACTAACTTCTTACAGTTCTTGGTTGTAACTTTATAAGTAATTATATAGTTTCTTTTTTCATTCTCTTGATGGAAATAACCCAAATGTAACAAGGAAATTAGTTTTACTAGAAGTTTACACAAAAATGACTGTTGTCTGTATTAAATAACTATTTTCAAACGATTTCACTTTTACAGAATTTCTTTTTCTTATCTTCTGTTAAATAATTTTCAAATGATTTTAATTTTTTACTTTTTTTTCCTCATAACTCATTAAAATCATTGCTTTGTTTTTAACTTATGTCTCTGCTTTTATATAATATGTTGGTCTGTATATATATATATATATATATATATATATATATATATATATATATATATATATATATATATATACATGACATATATATATAAAGGACATAAATCCTAAAGAGCCAGGAACAATCTATCGAGGTTTCACCTAAACGGATCTTCAGAGTCAGCTAACCTTGGAGATCCGTCTTGGCTCTTTAGGATTTATTTTATTTATCCCAGCTCTACTTAGCGTATTGAGCACTCTACGTTTTAGCTTTATTACTCGCTTAGGGCTTTTTCTTGGGACTAAAAACTTAAGGCACTGGACGATTTATTTCGCCTTGTCCGGATGTTTCTAGTTCTTTCTTTTTTTCCAATTTTTTTCTTCGTGTACCAATTTGTTTTGATAGACTTATAAGTGCCATCCGAGGTTTTTTCCAACCGAGTATTACTAGTATAATAATAATAATAATAATAATAAGAAGAAGAAGAAGAAGAAGAAGATGAAAAAATACAAAAAATTCTATATAATTTATTTTCTCAGATTCTCTGGATGAAAATAATGCAAAGTGTAACCAGGAAATTAGTGTTACACAAAACTGACGTGTTTATTTCTCTGTTGTCTATATTAATATGTGACCAAGTAATTGGTTAAGAAATAAAAAGACAAGAGGTTGCAGATGAATAGTGTATTGAAAAGTAAATACAACAGAATTATGTTTCACGACTTGGGAGTGTGTGTCGGTTGACACAACGTTCAGTCTATATCACAGGTATATACAGTGACCCCGACCACCACCACCACCACCACGAGGGCACATGTGGCACAAGGCTGAGTTTAACGTGGGTCATCCGAGCCCGTAGGCTAGGCCAAAAAAATCCCCGTAGAACTCGCATAAACGGGTTTGGGTCTGTCTATCTCCCCGGACGAAACTCTGCCCTTCGGCACAGCCCGTCCAGATTCCACTCCACCCAAAGCATAGAATTCGACAGGAGCTGCAAACAGTCACAGACTCGATAAAACAGCCTATATCACTGTTCCTCCGAGGCCTACCTTTCCTATTAACTGTATAGTAAGTGGAAGAGTCCACAATAGCCTCATTAGAGGGAGGACACCACAATGTTGGGTGATGCGCAGAATTGTTAATTATTTAAGAAAGAATCAGAAGGAAATTTTAGTGGCTGCGTGTCTAACTGCATCCCCAAACATATAAATAAACGAACTTTCAAATGCAATTAAAAACGAGACATAAGCAATTTAGAAAACAATGCAACATTTATACAGTTTACCAATATACAGGTAATGGGTAATCAGTGTGTGTCGTGTGGACAAAATTGGGTGTGTAATTGTTAGATTTGTGAATGTCTCTTTGTTGATATTGTTCGTTGGTTCGCTGTCTTTTTGTTTGTGTCAAATATCGTAATTATGAATAATAAGAGTTTTTGAAAAGGGTTTTTTAGAGTGGTCTACCCTTAAACGTATTTGATGTTTACTTATCTTGACCCCGTGGGAGTTAAGTAAATACCGCCGGCCAAGGGAGCAGCCCGGCCTTCGGGCTGGATTGCGACCATGGCAAAGTCTAGTTTGGACCATATCAGGACCTGCTAAGACTAACTTGGACCAGAACTTGACTTAGCTTTGACCAGCTTGGACATGTTATGACCAATCTTTGACCAGTGACCCTATGCGGAAACGCTCGGGTTTCCCACGAAAAACGACCTTGTGTCACATCTTGACTCCGTGGGAGTTAAGTAAATACCGCCGGCCAGGGAGCAGGAAGCCTTCCTGATTCGCGACTTTGACGCGCCCAGTCAAGTCGACCAAGTCCAGCAGCTGACGGGACCCAGCAGCAGTAGCAGCAGTTGTTCAAACAGTCCTTTTCAGGGCTAACTTCCGAAAGTCATTCGATCACAACTCTTCAAGGCTCCACTCACTTCACTCTTTGCTACTGCCTTCCCTCTGAGACGCCAGCTCACTCCTACACTTCCAGCACTCCTACCGCTTCCAGCTCACTCCTGCAGCTTCCAGCACTCCTACCGCTTCCAGCGCACTCCTGCAGTTTCCAGCTCACCCCTGCGGCGCTCTACTGACGTCCCGCTACCTATTCCAGCACCCGCTGACGATCTAATCCAGTGCCCACTGACGTCCAGCGCCCGTTAACGTCCGGACACCGTTCCCGAACAAATGACCTCTGTCGTCTTACCATCCACCGTTCGCAAATAAAGACACTATTTCTATCGGGCCATCTGCGTTTGTCATCCTTCTTTGCTATTGCCATCTCCTTGCCTTTGTGTCCCCTATTTTAGTTGTACAGTCGATTGGCACTCACACCTCTCGGCCCGCTGCAACAAAGTGGTGACCCCGACGTGATATATGGACACAGGCAAACGGCTAGCAGAGAAGATGGCGGAACACACCGAAACAGAAATCAACACATCAGCCGCCCTGATACAACTACCGCCATACAACTCGATCAACACCAGGAGTTGGTTTATTCAACTTGAGGCGATATTTTCAGCACGAAAGGTCACACGACAGGACACTAAATACGCCTCCGTGGTACAAGCCTTACCAGCATCAATCGTTGAAGAAGTGGAAGACATCCTTCTCAATACTCCGGACCAACTCCCCATACACCTGCCTCAAAGAAGCCATCCTCAAACGAACTGGACGTTCGGACGAAGACCTCATCAGAGACTTATTCTCTAATGTGTCTCTCGGCGATAGGACACCATCCCAGCTCCTCCGCCTGATGAATAGCCGCCTCGGGAACAACACCATGGCAGAACCCATCCTCCGAGGGCTATGGATGGATCGGTTACCACCGAATATAACAAGTTCTAGCCCTGGTACCAGTAGAGACGCCCCTTGACGTTGTGGCCGACTCAACCGACAAAATATACTCCCAGGCTCACCAAAAAGTTCACCAGGTTGAGAGCCACGGAAACCACACACAATGCCTCGAAGAGGAGATGACCCAGCTACGCGCAGAGTTGAGAGACTTGAAACTCTCCCTATGCCGGAGGCAGCGAAGCCCAGCACCACGCACGCGAAATCGAAGCCGTATCTGCAGCTCAAGTCCAGGACGGAGAAACAGTGTGGACGAATGTTGGTACCACCAAACCTTCGGTGACCGAGCCCGCAAGTGCCACCCTCCCTGCAGACGCAATAAGGCCCAGGGAAACGAATAGACCGACAGGCAGCGACGACGATCCCTGTCGGTACTCGCTCACACAGTCGTCTCTTCTACGTGTGGGACCGTAACAATGGCCTCAAATTCCTAGTTGACACTGGCGCAGACATCAGCGTAATACCACCCACCAACAGATCCGCTTTGAAACCCACCCCATTCCAACTTCGAGCGGCAAACGGCTCCACCATAGAAACCTATGGGAACAAGGAACTTACTTTGAATATAAACCTCAGACGCGACTTCAAGTGGTCATTCACCGTAGCTGACGTCAGGACACCCTTGCTCGGTGCCGACTTCTTGGCACATTACAACCTGGCTGTCCATATGAAGACGAGGACCCTGTCCGACAACACGACATCCATCAAGATCACGGGGATCCCATCGAGCTTCAACACAACTAGAATCAGCGTGGCAACACAGCACGACCCCCATTACGTAGAAATCCTGCGCCGGTACAAGCACCTCACGCAACCCATCAAACCAACTGATGCAGGCGACCATCAGACCCAACACCATATAAAGACCACCGGACAACCAGCTTATTTACGGCCACGACGACTCCCTCCACACAAATTAGCATATGCCAAGAAAGCGTTTGAGGAGATGCTGGCTGACAATATCATCCGACCCTCAGACAGCCCATATGTTTCACCACTGCATCTGGTACCCAAATCCGACGGGGATTTCAGGATCTGCGTGGATTACCGGAAACTCAATGCATCCACAGTACCCGACCGGTATCCTGTTCCGCATATCCACGACTTTGCCTCAGGTTTACAGGGGGCCCGCATTTTCTCAAAAATTGACCTGACCAAAGCCTACTACCAAGTTCCAGTTGCTCCGGAGGACATCCCAAAGACAGCAATCACAACCCCTTTTGGACTGTTTGAATTCCTAAAAATGCCCTTCGGACTGCGCAACGCAGCCCAGACGTTCCAGAGGCTGATGGGCGAAGTTCTGCGTGGACTACCATACGTCTACGCATACATTGATGACATCCTAGTGGCTAACAGAGACGCTGATCTCCACAAACAACACCTGGAGGAAGTGTTCCGCCGTCTAACACATTACGGCCTCCGAATCAACCCAGACAAGTGCGAATTCGGTGCACAACACATACTTCCTCGGACACCACACAGACGCTCAGGGAATCACTCCACTTCCCGATAAGATAAAAAGCCATACAGGATTTCCCGATGCCCACATCGATAAAGCAACTGCGACGCTTCTTGGGGATGGTAAATTTTACCGCAGATTTATCCCCGGATGCTCAAAACTCCTCACCCCTGACAAATCTTCTCCAGAGAAAAAACAAAGCCATCACCCTGGAGGGCGACCAGGAAAAATCATTCCAAGCAGCAAAAACTTTTTAGCTAACTTTACGAAGTTAGCACATCTTAAAGACACCCGGACTCAGACATATCTAACAACAGGTGCCTCAGACACTGGAGTTGGAGCTGTGGTAGAACAGGAGGTTGACGACCAACGCAAACCCATCGCATTCTTCTCGGCTAAATTATCACCAGCACTCCTACCGCTTCCAGCACTCCTGCAGCTTCCAGCACTCCTGCAGCTTCCAGCACTCCTACCGCTTCCAGCTCACTCCTGCAGATTCCAGCACTCCTACCGCTTCCAGCTCACTCCTGCAGCTTCCAGCACTCCTACCGCTTCCAGCTCACTCCTGCAGTTTCCAGCTCACCCCTGCGGCGCTCTACTGACGTCCTGCTACCTATTCCAGCACCCGCTGACGATCTAATCCAGTGCCCACTGACGTCCAGCGCCCGTTAACGTCCGAACACCGTTCCCGAACAAACGACCTCTGTCGTCTTACCATCCACCGTTCGCAAATAAATAAACGATTTCCATCGTCTACAACGGACCATCTGCGTTTGTCATCCTTCTTTGCTATTGCCATCTCCTTGCCTTTGTGTCCCCTATTTTAGTTGTACAGTCGATTGGCACTCACACCTCTCGGCCCGCTGCAACAGTATATCTATCTATATCTATCTATATATATATATATATATATATATATATATATATATATATATATATATATATATATATATATATATATATATATATATATATAAAGGGCATAAATCCTAAAGAGCCAGGAACAATCTATCGAGGTTTCACCTAAACGGATCTTCAGAGTCAGCTTACCTTGGAGATCCGTCTTGGCTCTTTAGGATTTATTTCATTTATCCCAACTCTACTTAGCGTATTGAGCACTCTAAGTTTTAACTTTATTACTCGCTTAGGGCTTTTTCTTGGGACTAAAAACTTAAGGCACAGGACGATTTATTTCGCCCTGTTCGGATGTTTCTAGTTCTTTCTTTTTTTTCCAATTTTTTGTTTTCATAGACTTACAAGTTGTGCCATCCGAAGTTTTTTCCAACCGAGTATTACTAGTATAATAATAATAATAATAATAATAAGAAGAAGAAGAAGAAGAAGAAGAAGAAGAAATACAAAAAATTGTTCTGTCAAGTACAGCCCACACTTTACTAAGGGCTTTATCTATGTAAAATGTTTTTTTTTTTTGTTTTTGTTTTTTTTGTCAGTGGAAAGTGTCATGATGCCATTTCTAACCTTAGGTCTCTGGGCAGGACCCGGAAAGAAATGTGTGCACGCAAGAAATCTAAGGAAATAAATAATTTAAAATAATAATAATAATAATAATAATAATAATTAGATAGATAGATAGATAGATAGATAGATAGATATTCAAAACATCTCTACAAAAATAGCCATTATAACATCACTACAAAAATAGCCATTTTGTTTCAACACTTCTGGTGTCTTATTAAGTGACGGTGTAGATTGCAAAATAAAGAGTTTTAAGAATTCAAAAACCAGCCACCCCCCCTCAGTAGGGGAAACATTGTTACGTAATCTATGATGACCAATCAGAATACAAGAAAATGGTAATTCCAAATAACGTAACAATATACCTGAAGTCTAATCTCTTAGTGCATTAACGTTAAGATTAGATTAAATTAAAAATCAATATAACAAATAAAGTTTCAATTTGACAGCTAAATTTAGAATTAAAAATTACAAATGTCAAATTTTAAATTTAACTGGGCATCAAGTTCAATATTATTAAAAACATATTCAGAAATTGAACTATGAAAAAAATATATTTTATTTTGGATATATATATAGAGAGAGATAGAAGAGAGAGATATATACAGACAGACAAACAGACAGAGATTTTAAGGTCGTCTCGTATTTCTAATTTTATAATCTGGCAACCCTAGTACACTATTCAGAGGAGAGTGAGATCTCCCTTCCACCCCTCTTGATAATGAAACAGTCGACTATAGATATAAGCAGTTTATTTTTCCCACACGTATTAATAAAGTGAAATAAAGCTTATCTTTAAATTTATTCAGGCTTTCTGTTTTCACTACACCTACAGATAACAGAACATGTTTTCACTACAACCAACAGATAGCAGAACATGTTTTCATTACAACCAACAGATACCAGAACATATTTTCATTACAACCAACAGATAACAGAACATGTTTTCATTACAACCAACAGATACCAGAACATGTTTTTATTACAACCAACAGATACCAGAAAATGTTTTCATTACAACCAACAGATAACAGAACATGTTTACATTACAACCAACAGATAACAGAACATGTTTTCATTACAACCAACAGATAACAGAACATGTTTTCATTACAACCAACAGATAACAGAACATGTTTTCATTACAACCAACAGATAACAGAACATGTTTACATTACAACCAACAGATAACAGAACATGTTTTCATTACAACCAACAGATAACAGAACATGTTTACATTACAACCAACAGATAACAGAACATGTTTACATTACAACCAACAGATAACAGAACATGTTTTCATTACAACCAACAGATAACAGAACATTTACAACCAACAGATTAACAGAACATGTTTACATTACAACCAACCAACATTACAACCAACAGATAACAGAACATGTTTTTTACAACCAACAGATACCAGAACAACCAACAGATAACAGAACATGTTTTACATTACAACCAACAGATAACAGAACAGATAACCAACAGATAACAGAACATGTTTTTCATTACAACCAACAGATAACAGAACATGTTTACATTACAACCAACAGATACAGAACATGTTTACATTACAACCAACAGATAACAGAACATGTTTTCATTACAACCAACAGATAACAGAACATGTTTTCATTTTCAACAGTTTCATAACAAAACATGTTTTCATTACAACCAACAGATAACACAACAACAGATACCAGAACATACAACCAACAGATAACAGAACATGTTTACAACCAACAGATAACAGAACATGTTTACATTACAACCAACAGATACCAGAACATGTTTTCATTACAACCAACAGATAACAGAACATGTTTACATTACAACCAACAGATAACAGAACATGTTTACATTACAACCAACAGATAACAGAACATGTTTTCATTACAACCAACAGATAACAGAACATGTTTTCATTACAACCAACAGATAACAGAACATGTTTTCATTACAACCAACAGATACCAGAAAATGTTTTCATTACAACCAACAGATAACAGAACATGTTTACATTACAACCAACAGATACCAGAACATATTTTCATTACAACCAACAGATAACAGAACATGTTTTCATTTCAACCAACAGATACCAGAACATGTTTACATTACAACCAACAAATACCAGAACATGTTTTCATTACAACCAACAGATAACAGAACATGTTTTCATTACAACCAACAGATAACAGAACATGTTTTCATTACACCTACACTTACCAGAACAGATCAAGCGTGGCAGAAGAACTCTATCAAGGCTGGGAGGTGAATTGGGCAGGCCCTACCCGGATATGGCAGAAAAATTCTATTTTGTGTCTAATCTAACTCTTGTAAATATGAAGTGTGGCAGAAGAATTCTATTAAGGTTGGAAAGTGAAGATTGTGCAGCTCCATCCCAGATATGACAGCAATACGCCATTTTGGTCATAATCTGACTCTTGTATAGATGAAGCGTGGCAGAAGGATTCACAAGTCTGGAAAGTGTTGATTTTGCAGATATACCAGCAATACTTCATTTTTGGTCTAATCTCTGTTTTATTTGTGTGACGTATGTTTTATTCCCGTGAATACGAGGCCATTTCTGCTGCTATTATTTGAGTGACCCTCACATCATTTTGGTAACCCCGACGTCCAAAAACATCATACTATTCACCCACAGCCTCACCCTGTATATTGGGCAGCAAATGTCCGTTTAATTATTTGTTTTTGTAATTTAAGAAACAGACATTTTGTGTCGATTAATTTTATTGATTAACTTTTCTCAGACTATACAGGCAAATCAAATTTGCTTAAATAACAATTTTAACAATAAAAACCATAGACATAAACATAATACTGACAATAACGCTATTAACATATATTACCAAGATCAAATACGTCACAATTACAAAAAAGATGCAACAACAAAAAAAAAATCATACATATATATATATAAAACCAGTGAATAAAAATAAGTACACCTGATTCATTATTTACTATAAAAAATTAAGAGCAAAAAATTTAGTTATTGAAAAAAACATATTCCAATCTTCCAACTCCCTATATAGGATAAACGTTGTGTACGAATATACTTGCCCACTCGGAGAATGGTTTTCTGTAAATAAAAAACACAAAACGTTTTGCATAGGATATATCACAAGCACACTTTCACGGAGACTACCCTGCCACCTATCAAACCAGATTGCCATCAGACAACACATTAATAAGCAGCATAAAGTTTATAGTAATATTAGACAGTTACTAACAGACAATACAAAAATAATAGCAAAATGAAATAGTTACAGTCATATGAACCGTTAACCAATTCTCAAACAACAAAAACATCCATCTGTAAATAAAATCAATTACAATTAAAAAACCGATATCCTCAACTGTACATAAATTAAAATTTTAAAAATGTAACAAAAAAGAACGCAAACACGTCACACCTAATCTACGTCACAACACTCTTTGCCTACATCACAAAACTCACCTATTTCTACCTATTCTGATGATGAAAAGTCGAAAACTTGAGCCATATTTCTTTAGACGGAATTTCCTCTTTGTCTGAGAAGGAACATAAGCAATTTGCAAAAGTTGACCAGTAAAATTAATCGACACATAATGTCTGCTGTCTTTAATAATATTTGCTTTACAGAATATTTGCGGCCTTAATACACATACCTTAATATATAATATTACATTAAAACAATATATAATATACAAATAATAATACATTCAATACAATAAATAAAATAAATATAGAATAAAATAATTATTGAAAAAATAAAAATAAGATTATTAAAAATAAAATAAAAAATAATTTATAAATTAAACCGGCATTCCCTGACGATCCGCTTAGGTGAAACCTTGGTAGGTTTGTCTGGCTCTCTAGGTTTAACTATATATAATATTATATATAATATTATCATTAATACACATTAATACACAATTAATATAATATATATATATATATATATATATATATATATATATATATATATATATAATATTATATATAATACTATATCTATATATTGCTCTATTTGTATAATATTGAGTACTATATGAAAATATCTGCGTCACTTTTAAATCTTAAAATTTCAAATTTTATATATATATATTAATAATTAACTGAAATATTATTGAAAACAATAATAAAAGGAAGAAATCTTAACACACAATTTTAAATCAAAA